ATGCCATCCAGAGGGACCTGGACAGGCTTGAGAGGTGGGCTTTTGCAAACCACATGATGTTCAACCAGGCCAAGTGCAGGGTCCTGCACCTGGGACTTGGCAATCCCAGGCACAAATACAGATTGGGCGGAGAATGGCTGGAGAGCAGGCCTGAAGAGAAGGACTTGGGGGTGTTGGTGGATGAGAAGCTCAACATCAGCCGGCAGTGTGCACTGGCAGCCCAGAAAGCCAACCCCATCCTGGGCTGCATCAAGAGAAGTGTGGCCAGCAGGTCACAGGAGGTGATTCTACCCCTCTACTCTGTGCTTGTGAGACCGCACCTGGAGCACTGTGTCCAGCTCTGGGGTCCTCAATTCAACACAGGAAAGACATGGACCTGTTGGAACAGGTCTAGCGGAGGGCCATGAGGATGATCAGAGGGCTGGAGCACCTCCCTCATGAAGACAGACTGAGAGAGCTGGGGTTGTTCAGCCTGGAGACCTCATAGCAGCCTACCAATATCTGAAGGGAATGTACGGGAGAGCCAGAGAGGGACTCTTGTCAGGAAGTGTAGTGACAGGACAAGGGGTAATGGTTTTAAATTGGAAGAGGGGAGATTTAGATTAGATATTAGGAAGAAATTCTTTACTGTCAGGGTGGTGAGACACTGGATCAGGTTGCCCAGGGAAGTTGTGGCTGCCCCATCCCTGGAGGGGTTCAAGGCCAGGCTGGATGGGGCTTGGAGCAACCTGGTCTGGTGGGAGGGGTCTCTGCCCAGGGCAGGGGCATTGGAACTTGATGATCTCTAAGGTCCCTTCCAACTCTAACCATTCTATGATTCTATGGTGGAGAGAATGCATACACAGAAACCTTCAAGTGTATGCTTGCACCTCATCTTTAGGTTTCCATACATTTTAGGAATTTAAGCCATCCCAGCTAAGCTAGGAGGCTCGTCCTCTCGCATCCCTGGTAGTAATGGAAAGATACAGCAATCTGCAAATTCAGAACTATTCAGAAGTGCCTAGGGTGCTTCTACATTAATATCTTAGGATTAGAAATACTTTTTAAAGGTGAATCTTTCAGTTCTTTTAATTTATTGTGCTATCACAACGTGCATCACGAAGTGGTATCACAGAGAACGTAATGGAGTCCTTTTAGATGATGGAATGAAGCCAAAATGTGCACCTACACTAATATTTCTTTTATTGAGTGCCACATTTCCTGAAAATAATATGAGAAAAGAAACATGTACTAGATGGCGGGATCCATTGCTAATTGCACCCCTCCTTTAATAAACTTCCGTGATATACAGTGTTTGATGCAGAAGCCCAGAATTCTTCTCATTACCCGCTAGATGTCACCATTGACACAGAAAAAAATGAAAGAATATATTTTTCTGCCTCTTAAAAGTGAGGTTTGTTGTTCTCACCACACCTTAATCAAAGTAGATCTCCAGTCCAAGAAATTTGTTATGTTCTCTTAAAGCTATGCGTCCTCTGACCTTGTTTATTAACTGGAAAACCTTGAAAATATTTTACAGGAAACCACACCTCGAATATTCTCTTGAGCCTTGGCCCCACGTGGTAGTAGGCTTCTCCATTCCTTACCCAAATTTGCTTTCCTTTGCTTCTCTTAATTCCAGAGCCATTTGAATTGCCTATTCAGTAAAATAAACTGTTAAATCCTGTTAGGTCCTGTGCTAATCGGAAGTTTAAAATAGGCAGTATCCTGTTTTCTTATTTTATTATTGCCTATTATAGCTATCACATCAGAAAAGCCTACTATGACAACTTCCCCTGTTTTTATTAATAACACAGTTACACTAAGATTAGTAGTGTAATCAAATATGATAAAAATGAAGGGAGATAAAAAATTGTCAGGCAGTTTTATTTGTCTAGGTTTACCTGTTCAGTGTTTGAATGTTCTTTACTTGTACCAGAGGTATTCTTTGTTACAATCATCATAATTTTTAGACAAATTTTTGTTATTTTGTTTAAGTTGACATTTTATGTATTAATGTATTTTAAAGTCAGAAAAGGCAGTTGTGATCAGAGGATAGACTTCTTGATAACTCTAAGTAGCCTCTGGGTGAGCATGTTTCAGCAGTGTACACCAACAACTGTGGCTGACTTAGTGTGCTGCTTTTTTATTTCCTCAGGGGTCACCTGAATTACAGACTATTTTAGCTGGAATTGCTGTTGCATATCACAATAGAAAAAAAGATCATAATGGCTGTGAATCTGAGCAATTTTTTGGAGAAAGGCCACAATATTAGAGCATATGTTTCCAAAGATGCTGCTCAGTAATTCAAAAGAAGGCATATTTCACTACTTGTGCAGATAGTGCTCCTGCAGTGCAAAAGTTGCCGGAATCTGGAATGAATTTTGCTGCTTCTATATTCTGTCTCTCTATTTTGCCTGTCTTTTCTCCTAGATTTAAGTTCCCTAATTGCAGCTTTTCCTGCATGCTACTTGAGACCAAAGTCAACTCATCTCTGAACCTTGTATGATACATTGAAATAGACTGAATTTAAGTTTATTCCTTTAACACATTTTTCAAATTTATTCAAATGCAGATATATTAGGGCTTCATTTAATGCTGAATACTTTAAGTACAACTATTGACATTCAGGTGTTTAATTCAGAGAAATAAAACTAACAGAGGATAATAATACTTTGCACTTAGTGTACTATATCCAAAATTTATGAGCATCATGCAAACATTATCTTACGTGTTGCATTGTTACTGTAAGTCTTGTCATATTCACTTTACAAAATAGGCACACGAGGCACAGAAAGACTCTAAGTATCTCAAGATCATTAATAATAAACACAGAATTTGAAATTTCTCCTCCAACCATTAAACTACCAGTTTTCACTTCTGATGTAATGAAGGTATTACACAGAGCATCCCTTTAACTCATCCCACCAAACTCTTTACACTACTCAGCTGAAGGAGCTCCAGTTCATCAGAACTTTGTTGTTAAGCTAACCGAGCAATTGCAGAAGCAAGAAAGCATTCAAGAAGTGGGAAATTCATCAGCACAACACAGTGGATGGGAGGACATTTTTTTTACATTGAACTTTCACGATACCTCTCTAATCATCCTTCCCAAAACGTATGGAAAAGACTTACATAAACTCACCATTACATGCAAATGTGACTTTAGCTGTTGAAGTTTCCTGGTTCTGGGATTTCTTCTTAAAACTAACACACTCCACGGTGTTTGCTCAAAATGTTTCTGTCACTGAGTTCCATAGCAGAAGAATAGGAATGAACACTTTACCGGTGTGCCACAAACAAGGAGGTACGCAGTCTTGGGATATTCAGTAAATATAAGGTCTGAGATTTCCTCTGCCTCAGTTTTCCTTCCTGCTCCCCAAGCTGTATACTCTTTTTTTTCTTTTCTTTTTTTTTTTTTTATTTTGGTGTAATTGTTTTGTGAAGTTGTTTTTTTTTTTTTTTTTTTTTTTTGGTGTAATTGTTTTGTGAAGTTATAAGCTTGCTGGTAAGTTAGGTCATGCGACAAATACCACTACATCCTTTTTGTCTGAGGAACTACGTTTTCTTCCTTTGGGAACACATCTATACCTGGCTGCACTTAGGAAGAGGGGACTGATTCCTGTTGTATAACAGTGCATGTCTGTTTTTGAGAGTTAGTGCTTAGTTAAATCAATGGCTGAGCAAGTGATTGCTAAAAGTTGGCGGAGTGAACCTTAGCTGCAAACTCCTCTGTGAAGGTTGCCTCCCAGCTTTTCCAGATGAAGCTGTTTTTACAGATGCTTGCTCACGAGGCCCTGAGCAACACGATGTCAAGCCAGCTGAGTTTTCAGTTGTAGGCTGTACTGAGATGTCTTCCTGGGATCCCTTCCAACCTAGAGTATTCTATTATTTTGTGTTTCTCCCGAAATATTTTACAGCATGATTTATAAAATGCAATTAAATATCAAGGATAGGAAAGGTAAACATACTTTACATATTTTATTTTCTGTTTCGCAGACTTGAGTTGCTGCTCATGAGTTTGCCTCATTATAGCAGGAAGAGTTTGCCTACTACAAGAAAATGATATATGGATTAGTATTGCCACTGCATGCTTAGTTACTTGCCAACTTGTAGGAAGATGAAAATATGTGTAGTCTGTAGTGAACTGTATTCTGTAAGTCTAGAAACAACAGCATACCCTTCTTGAATAGATAGCGATAGTACATTGAGTATGGGAAGTCTTAGGAAAATTTCTAGGACATTGAAACACTATTTTTTTTTGGGTGAAGTTATCATATACAGGTATAAACAAAGCAAGCATGATATCAAAGAGATACAGTAGGTTACAATAGGACTTGACATTTCAAAAAAGTTTATGATTTGGGGAAGCTATAAATAAACAGGGTAGACTTTTTTAAATGGTTGAAGCTTCATTGACTATGCAAAGTATCTCCACTCACAGATCTCACTTCACAAACAATGTGTTCCCACACGTAATGGAGTAAGTTGAAAGAGAAACATGTATTTGGCCAGTCACAGAAACATTATTCTATTTCTTCTGAATAATTTCTATTCACTGAAGATCTCTATTTGTATCTCCAGTTTTTGTTCTACAGGATGAAATAGGTAATCTCAAATTGTAAAGTGTGTGCAACAGTGTAACAGTTCTGAGATTGCCCCTGAGTTTTTCAGATTCCTGATCTGAATTAGTTCTTCTTCAAATATGTTAAAGATGTTAAATGCACGTTTCCCACTTTTACTAACACTTGTTTATAAATTACAGTTTTCCAAAGTCTTCTACTTTACCCATGGTCTTTGTCTTTGAACCAGGGAGCCAGACTCTTCTGAGTGGTTGGCAGTGACAGGACGAGGGGCAACGGGCACAAGTTGGAACATAGGAGGTTCCACTCAAATATGAGAAAAAACTTCTTCACAGTGAGGGTGCCAGAGCCCTGGAACAGGCTGCCCAGGGAGGGTGTGGAGTCCCCTTCTTTGGAGATTTTCAAGACCTGCCTGGATGCAGTCCTGAGAAACATGCTTTAACATGCTCTAGGCAATCCTGCTTCAGCAGGGGAGTTGGACTAGATGATCTCTATGGTCCCTTCCAACTCTAAAAAATTCAGTGAAATTCAGTGAAACTGGAACATTTTGTTTGGTTGAACTCTTGAGCTCAAAAAAACCAGACCAATATTAGTGAATGTGAAGGATCTTTTTGAACGTCTTCTTGAAATTCTGGTTACAAAGAGGATACAGGAATGGATTCAAGGTGGAGTTCACATAGCCAAGCCATATAGTGAACATGTGTAAATGTGAAAATTGTTTATGGCCATGGAAAGCTATTACCATAAATAGCACAAAATAGGGAATCCAGCACAGCATAAAGGCTGCCATTATGACCCCTAACTGCTTTGCTGCTTTCCTGTCCCTGTTCCTGTGCAGTCCTTGAGTGTGCCTTTTGGACTGGGTATGCAGGTTTCGCCAGGTTTTCCTCAAGTAAGTCAGTCCTCTGAAATCCCTGTTCTCAGTCTTTTCCTGAGGACTGCAGGCTCTTTCAGGGTTAGGATTGGGGTATTTTTCACAGAGTATATCCTCTGTGAAAGTCTGGTTGTCTGATGCATCGCTTAAGTCACTGTCTTGTGAGCAAGGCTCCTCTTCATTTTCATTCTCTTCTGTTGCACACACGTTCTTCTTTTCTGCGTTATCCAGGCATGCCTCAGACTGGACAGTGGTGAGAGGAAAACAGCTCCATTTAAGGACTTTCCTATTGCTCTTGCCAACGAATGCCTTTGCAGATTTGTCAGAGTTACTGAAATTAAGCTCTGCCTCCGTATCTCTGGGCTGAGGGGAGCTTGGCTTGTCTTCGGGAGAGTCGTTCTCATGTAAGATTTGCTTTTGGAGGCAAATATTTTCCTTGTCCTTCGTCTTACTATGTTGTATGGTGGATTTTTCTGAGGGAGACTGATGTGATCCATTGATGAGCTCTCGGTGTTGACAGTGTTTTCGAACAGCTCTGAATATTTTATAGTAGAACCATAACATCATGATAGAGGGGATGTAGAAATTGACAATGGCTGTCAGCACTTTAAACCAGGTGACTTCAGAGAATTCAGTTTCACACTTGCTTTCTTCCACTCTCCTTTCCCCGTTATTAGCAAAAACGTGCCAACCTAAGATTGGAATCACCCACATGAAAGAGAGCAACCACACCCCCAAAATCATGAGCGATGCTCTCATTTTTGTTCTATACTTGAGATATTGCAGTGGTTGCTGAACGGAACGGTAACGGTCAATGCACAATATGAAGAGATTGAAAATGGATGCAGTACTGGCCACATAATCCATTGACAGCCAGAACAAACAGGCTGGTATGCCCAGAGTCCACACACCACTTAGGAGATAAACAATATTCAGAGGCATAACAGCTGCACCAACTATAAGGTCTGCAATAGAGAGGCTGACAATGTATAAATTGCCAACTGTTTGCAGCTTCTTTTCAGTTTTCACAGCATATAGGACTAATATATTCATGACAATAGTGATCAGCGAAATGCTTCCCAGCAACACACCTAGAGGGGCTGAGTGAGGGTTGGTTGAGTTGTCTGTTGAGTTTATTAGCATCTTTTGCAGAGGAACACTGAATGAAAGTAAGAAAAGATGTCCAGGCCTTGGAAATTCAGTCTTGGTTTACACTCCTGGATGAAAATGTGTTGGATTGCTTTGTGAATTTTATTTCCAGAACTATAGAAAAGAAGAGAATATGCTCAATCATGGTAGTACTAGAATAAAATAATAAAACTAATCTGCTTCAGTTTAGCACCATCACTTTTAGGACTTTCCTAAATAATGAATTTTTACATATGGGTAATTTCAGATGTGTTCTATGAAAAGTACTGGTGCAAGCTCCACAAACTGATCCAAAGTAGTTTGCAGAGGGATTCTGCAAATCCCTCTGAGCAGGGATTACACAGAGCTCAGGCCTTTTCTGCTCCTCACACAGCCCCACCAGCGAGAGAGTTAGGGCTGCACAAGAAGCTGGGAGGGGACACAGCTGGGACATCCAGCCCAGACCGACCAAAGGGATGTTCCATACCATATGACATCATGGGCAGCAGTATAAAGGTGGGGGAAGAAGAAAGAAGGGGGGAACGTTTGAAGTGACAGTGTTTGTCTTCCCAAGAAACCGTTACATGTGATGGAGCCCTGCTTTCCTGGAGATGGCTGAATATCTGCCTGCTCATGGGAAGCAGGGAATGAATTCCTTGTTTTGCTTTGCCTGAGCACGCGGCTTTTGCTTTACCTGTTAAACCGTCTTTATCTCAACCCATGAGTTTTCTCACTTTTCTGATTCTCTCCCTCATCCCACTGTGATGGGAGAGAGTGAGCAGCTGTTTGGGGCTTAGTTGCCAGCTGGGGTTAAACCAACAACATGATGCCAAATGACAAGGTGTTCCAAACAATAAAAAGACTCCAGCCAGTAAACACATTCACCTGATACAGTTGCAAATAACTCCTAAGGTTGCAGCCAGTGCCTGTTTTCACTGGTAGGCAGTCGTTCAAATTACAGGTAATGGCTAATCTCTTCCTACCCAATTTAGGCTTACACGGATTTCAGACATTTAAAGATGGCAGCCCTGTTTTATTTCAAATACAAACTGATAAAAGTTCATGGAAAATAATAGGAGTTTTCAGGTTTAATAAGGATCTTGCAACTTCTCAAGTGCATATAAATATAGGGTCTTTTAGGCTGAAGTTTACTAGTTAATAATTCAATAATTCACTATTTCTTGCTAACTCTATCTCTTCTTATCAACCCTGTAATCAGGGTTGAAGCTGAAATGTTTATGTGCTTTCTTACAAGAGCTCAAATTCCTTCTTCCTCCAGCTTTACTTACAAGTGCCTGGTGTTACGAAAGAAGATGTGTGCTTGGTAGCAGTAGCATCCATAGGCAGAGGAAATACATACGCTGTGGGGTATGAGCTCAGGAGCTGTATTCTTTAATTCTGTATTCTGCAATTCTGTATTCTGCATAGCCTTCAGGTTCTGTCACGCATAGTTCTTCAGTGACAGCTAGTCACAGATGTCAGAAGATCAGAGAGGCCTCAAGCATCTGTTTGAGAACAAGAACAGAAATTACACCACAGATCTTAAATCGACATGTCTGGTGATAGGAAATGGTTATATCCCAGTCTGTCATTGCCTTTCTTTCCACAGCTGTACTCTGTAACCTCTGTGTTGGAGTTAAGTATATGGGGCATGGTCAAGTGAAGTTGTTGATGTTAATTGCTTCTGTGACCTCATAAAGAAATAACTGATCTTCACCCCCACGTATTTTCATTTAAATTTATGGCAAAATAAAAGGAGAGAAGGCAGCTTTAATTGAGTCTTCAGCAGAAAGAATAACAGCAAAGAAAGGTTTGTGATTACACAGCACTCCTCAGTTATTTATGAACTGCACGTGAAATGAAAGATAGAGCAGGATAGAGTAAATGGTGTTGACTGTTTCCCAGACTTTCTTAGTACTGCTGCAGGGAGATAGTGTAGGATTTAGGAAGGAGCCTATGAAACTTCATCTGCTCCAAAGAAGGCATGAAGGTCTAGTTTTTCAACTCATGCTCCACTTTTATTAAAATGTCTCTTAATAAAAGACTTCTATTAAAACATCTCTTAATAAAAGACAAAGCTTGATTACTTTTCTTTTTTGAAGTAGCTTATACAGGCTATAACAATCCAAGAATGATGTCAGGAGATACAAATCATTTGAGAACACTAAGAAGAAGAAATATTCAGGGTAATGCATGTGCTCTTTTAAAAATACACATGTTAACAGGCACTCCATATTTACAGTAATTATGTCTTAGAACGTAATTTTCATCACAATGTCATTTGAGCAGTTTTTAGTCCCTGACGGATTTTATCTTCTCTGCTTTTTAGAGCTGGCCATGTACTATTAAATTTCAAAGTGAAATTGAGGAACAGGTCAAAGTGATCTGCTAAACATCATACAGTAATGTTAGATCTAAAATCAGCCAAGGCTCCTTTGCTCTCCAAACAGTGTCCTGACTACTATGCTGGGTCTTTTCTGTCTAGACTTTGGGTCTGTATTTATTCAGACACCCTAGACAAGGGAATGCTGATTTAGAAATTAATTTTTTTATTTTGTAAGCTTTAATACAGTGAAGGCAACTTAGTCTAGCTTTGACCTTCTGACATCTTCCATTGTAATAAGTCTACTTACATGATAAGGGTCTAATATGGCTGGAATGGGACTATACCCAGTAACAAATATCTACAGTATTAATGGCTGGAACAGGCTTGCAAGAACCATTTGCCCTGCTCTACAGCGAGTAGATCTTGAGGCTGCATTGGGATATTGAAGCTTTACAGTAACACTGCATTTTTCATATTGAACAATTTGTGGTTTTATGATCTTTTACAACCCTGACTTTGTGAGTATTGTCCCACCAAAGACAGTATTTTAAGGCTTTAGGTAATTTAGGATTTGGAGTGTGTTGATGAGAAAACAAGCCACTCTAAGAGGTAACTAGAAGAGGGTCCATACCTTCAGCATGAAAGTTGTACACCCAGCACATACTTCCTACCTATCTTTGAAGACAAATCGTACCTCTGTACCCTTTAAAAAGATGTAGCAAGAGATTGAGCTGGCCACAAAATGCTTCGAATAGAGCAGAAATGCAATGTCGGAACTGTCTCTTTGCATTCCCTAGCACGGCACCATGTGCAGCTGCTGTTTCTGCCCGAGATCTTTCCCATCATGCAGAATTCTCCTTAACAATATGTTATGACAGGCGTTTAGCAGCGTGTCAGACATACTGCAATCCCACACTCTTGTGTAGAGGAAAGAGAATTTGGTGGCTTTCTTGAATTTTCTAAGGGCCTGAAGAAGGCTTCCAACACATGAGACGTGGTGCATCTTGCACCTACCAGTGTCCACGCTTTGTCGATAAGGAGTATGTTGCAGAGGGCTTTTATCTCCCTCTCCTTCACAGGCGAACAGAACAAGAGAGAACAGTAAGCTTCTCCTAAAAAGTAAAAATGACTGCATACGAAATAGCATGCAGAGAAGCTGCATTTAGTTGCAGAAATGTTGTTATTGGTCAATGCCCTCTAATACCACTCTGTACTTGGCCCTAACACCACAGTCTTGCCCACTAAGCTTACACTGAACTCTAACATGATTGCTACTGCACGAAATAGCATGCAGAGAAGCTGCATTTAGTTGCAGAAATGTTGTTATTGGTCAATGCCCTCTAATACCACTCTGTACTTGGCCCTAACACCACAGTCTTGCCCACTAAGCTTACACTGAACTTACACTGACATGATTGCTACTGCTAGAATTAGCACATTTTGCCACACAACTTTGTCCAAGGAAAGATAACTAGAAAATAATAAGACCCCATATTATGAAATTCACTGATCACCTCTTCTGTGCTGTAGGGGTGATTGTAATCTACAATTTATTTTTTTTTAAACTTCCCACCATCATCATTAGTCGTGATGGTAACAAACAGCAGCAGCAGTTTAGTCATCATGAGAGCACTGTGATTTGCAATTGCAGCTTCTTGCTCTTCATAGAGGCACACACCATTTTGTAATGGCCGTGGACTGTTTGTGGTGTATGTACTGCTGTTCAGGAGCTACTGGTTTAATTCCTTACCTGTAACCCACTTCCCAGTAGAGGAACTGTAACATTACTGAATAAATGTCTTTTAATATTTAGATGGTCTAACATTTATTACACTGAGCCAGAGCTCACTAATACGGAACAGATTTTAAAGAAAACAATCGGCCTAAGATGTTGGATAACTCTTGGGAATTTCTAAACCCTGGCCTCACCATGAGATGCCTTCTTTAAGTATCTGTGAAGAGCTGTCTGTGAAGAGCTTTTTCTTCAAGGAAAATCAGCAATAGTGATTTGTTTGTTATTGTATCACAGTGATAATTCTTCCAAGGAACAAGGACCTACAGGGAGATGCTAAGTGGATGCCTTACTGACTCATTAGTGCAGGTGCAATCTATTAAGCCCTGACTAAATGGGAGTAAGTTTCTAGAGACAGGTGTTGGCATATCTCTTAGGGATAGATTTTAAAGGAACTACAGCTACAACAGGAAAGGCTAGGCTAGGCTACAACAAAGTTCAAGTTCATCAGATTAAGTTCAAGACAGAAGGTAGATTTGATTTCAGATTACCCACATTGACTAAGTTGTACTTCAGAAGCCTATTTGTTTCTAGTGATTTAAAAAAAAATATTCTTTAGGTGTTGAAAGCATTAACACACTAGAGGCTTGATTAATTTGCTTCTCAAAAATTTACATATTTCTCTGTAAAAAAACCAATCTCTAGGCAATGCTTGCCAATACTTAAGGAGTATTTTAGATGAATATAACTGAAAAACTTGGTAACCTGCCTGCTGTTCTCATTCAAATGACCTGGTATTTCAGTCCAGGAAGGACCAGCTTTTGTTTGTTTGTTTTGGGTTTTCTGTTGGTTTTTTCCAGAAAAGCATCTACTACTATCACAGGGAAGACTGGATTCCATCTATGCTTGAGTACTTCTAGTTAGTCTGAAACAAAAAGACTATGTAATCTGAAGCTTTAGTGTCTGACCAGTAAAGTTTTTGCAATTCTCCTAAATTGTCCTTTCCCCCCACATACCTATTATATGGGCAATGAGAGTTACAAATTAATCTTTTACTACGTGAACAAACAACCCAGGCTGACATATGAATAATTTCATTCCTTATTCTTGTTATGATTCTTCCTTTGTGTGAAGAAACTCTTAAGCAACAGATTTGGACATCTGGCTGCCTAGTTTTGCATAAACTTGTATTGCATGAATTTAGTGGCAGAAAATTTTCAGTGGTTCTTGATGTAAATGCTGTTTTGGCGAAAAATGAGGCCAGAACTAATGTAGCAGATGGACACTATTGCAGACGTGCTGAAATCTACTTTACAGGCTAGACTGCAGAGAGAAATTTGCTGTCTGAGTTGTTGCCTCAGTGATCTGCATACTGATTTCAGGAGCTGGATGGCCTGGGAAATGGTTCGGGCCTTCAGTGTGCCAGGGTGATTAGCAATGGCACTGTTCCTGGGCAGGGAAAGGCAAGCAGGCTGTTTCTGAAGCCTTCTCCATACTTTCACTTCCCCAAAGAGTAGATGGTCCACTGCTGTAATTACTGCGCTTCTTTTTCCCCTCCTGGTTCAGTGACTCATCTAAACAATACTGTGAACAGGCTGTATAGTTTTAGAGCAAGGACAGAGCAGAATAGGAGTAATATGGTTACATTCTCACTTCTAAGACATATTTATTCAATTATCTCTAGGAATGCACATGACAACTCATCTCAAAATACTTTAACTGAAGTATCCTTGAATCCATTCATTCTGAATGTGTAGTACACTGTGAATGGTCCTCTCGTGCTTAGAGCAGTGAGCAGGGGACCACTTCATGAAGTATTGCAGAGGAACCAGTGCAAGGCCGTTTCATACAAAAGCTGTATTGCTTAGCTGTGCTCTGGTCTGTGACATCCAAATTTATCCTTATTCTTTTAAATTGGATGGTGATGTTCTAAGGATAGCAAGCAGACCTTATGAACAACCAAAAGATAACACAGAGCCTATTGTGAAGGGAACTTGAAGTTTTTAAGTAAAGTTGTAAAGGCTTTCAAGGATGAAAAAAACTATTTATGATTATAACTGTATGATACACTGAATTTGTAACTTGCTTATATGAGTATATTTTCTTTTCAGTACAGTGATTCTACTGTGCTATTGCTATTTTTTTTATTTGTATTAGGGTACAGGCTGTCAGGATGGCAAATAAATACTTCTGCTTTTATTTAGTTGAGGAAATATTGCATCTGGTTTCCTTAAGTGAGGCATAATGCAAAGCGCAGGAAAACATTTGGACAGGCTGAAAGATTTGAAAATATAAGTGAAAGCTCAGCTTGGGGCTTGTAGATGATGCTTGACTTGATTATAGTTGATATTTTCAGGTTTTAGTTTTTATAGAATCACAGCAGTTGCTTCTCCAGCCGCTTGCATCAATCAAATTGGCAGGCTACATGCTGCTGTCAACAGACATTT